GAGAGAGATAAGGGGAATCTTTGATGAAAATGAAGAACGCGGTTTGTTGGCTTTTAATAAATTGACTTTTTGACTTTTGACTTTTTTGAATTTAAATGAATTTTTTGAAAAGTAGATCTGCCCTTGTCTCTTTCCTCTATACATTATTTTACTCTTATTTTTCTTTTTGGGGAAACAATTCTGTCGGTGGATTCAAATTTTCCTTTTTTCTTTTTTTTCCCTTTAATTGGCCATAAACTTTCAGGGATATATTTATTACATAATAACCGTTAAACATTAATTATTTAATCTCTTTTTAAATTATCTTATAGAAAGAAACAAACTTCACCATTTATTACAAGATTATCATATTTATTTTGTTCCTATTATAATTTTGTTTAATTTATCGTCATTTTTTAAAAAACTGTTGTTGATGGTAAATTTTTTCCATTCACTGATAGTGTGTTTCCGAGATGATGTTTTCATTACCAATGCATTGACCAAAAAACATTTTTCTTTTAATAATACAAATTAGACGGGGGGAAAAAATGATGGTTCGGTGAAGGCAACCGGGTTGGGCCAAATTGGATCCGAATGACACGGGCCGCTATCCTTGCACTGCTAAGAGCGGGAGGTTTTCGCTGTTCTGTGATACCAGCCTCACGCATTGCCCTCCACTTCAGAAGCCGATGAGGCTGAGGCCTTCGCCTGCACACCATGGCTCAACTCCATGCTTGCAATGGACGATCCAGACGAGGTCATTGCGGAACCGGCCAACCAAGGAAAACTTCCCATTCCGTCACATTAATGCCCCCACATGGGTCACAAGCTTGCGTAACCAAGCTCGGCGGGCTCTCGTGCTTCAATTAATTTTATAAAGGAAAGCAAAGTCGAATACTCTTTCGATGTGGGAGAAATAGAGGCCATCAATCTAAGCCAATTAACTAAAGATTAACTGATTTGAACAAGAATAACCTTGTCAGCTAAACATTTTACATTCACCAAAAGTAAGATGATGTGTTTCATTATCAATGCATTGACCAAAATGGTTGCCGTCTAATGTCATTATTTAGAACAAAAATACACATTAATACAGAGGAAAAAAATGATGGTTCGGTTGGGGGCATCCCCACAGGGCCAAATTCGGATCCGACTGACATGGTCCATTATGCTTGGACTGCAAAGAGTGGGAGGTTTTCGTTGGCTCTGTAAATCCAGCCTCACGCATTGCCCTCCACCTTAGAAGAAGCCAAGCACCGGGCATCCGCCCAAACCCCATGGCTCGACTCCATAACTTGCAATGGGCAGCCGATTAAAATCGATATCGGATACCAGCTCAATAGGGAAGCCTGCCCCATTCCATCACCTTACCACCTCCACTTGGGTCACAAGCTTGCGCAACCAAGCTCGGCGGGAGCCCGTGTTTCAAGTTACTTAATAAAGAAAGGCAAAGCTAAACACCCTTTCGATGTGGGAGAAATAGAAGCCAACATTACAATCCAAATAACTAAAGATTGCCTAATTTTAACATCAATCACCCTGCAAACATATACCTAATTTAATTTAGCATCAAAGTATCATATTTAAAAGACAAATTTTATAATTCAATGACTAAGTTTGTATTTTAACTGTGATGTGAGATCCCCAACCCATAAAACAGAAAAACGAAACATTTCTTATAAAAGTGTAAAAACTTATCTTTAGATCTATATACTATATATATATATATATATATATATATAATTGTTCCAATTTTTGAATATTTGCATTAAAAAATAAATATATATATACTTTCAACTCTTAGTTTCGCAATAATCACCAGAGTATCTGGGATGTGCATGTTCCTTTGGTAATCACCGAGTATCCGTGCATGTTCCTTGGGAGATCCAAGCATTGAACAAGCAATGGCGTCCTATCTTTACAAATGATATCAAATCCAAGCTGCTCGGTACCATTAAAGGCAGCCCTGATGCAATTTAATGAAATTCCAAACTGCTTCAGATCTGCCATGGCGGATGATCCACATAAATCTCCCATTAGGACAGAAGGAATCAGGTCCTGCTTATCCCATCACCAAATAAACTTCTGATACGAATACCTATACAAAAATTAAAAGAAAAAAAAAAGGTTCTTGGAACTGATCTATTCACATTTTCCCCAGAATTTGATTTATTTGAAATTTTGTACAGACTAAGGCTTCAGTACTAAAACTATTACATTGTTGGAAAATGATGAACACGAGAACAAAAACAGAGATGGATCAATCAGGACTCAAGAAGGCAACTCCAGGCCAAGTAAACAGAGAGCGAGGCACTCTGCCTTCCATTCCATATCCACAATTCAAATGCCAAACTTCCGATCATCCCAACACACCATATCTCGTGTTTCAGTCAAGGCACTGCAACAGAGTTACTTGTAAGGCCAGATATCTCATACGCCATCGATCATGAACGCTTCCAGTATATCACTCTTGTTCGTTCTCATAGAAAGTCAGTCAATTCTTGGGAAGCAACTTGTTCATTTTCTTTTTTAATGCCGTGTCAAAGTCGGTATCTGATAATGTTAATAACTGGTTCAGTAACAACATCACCCCGCTCTTTTTCATAATTGCATACCTTGGTTTAATCCTCCCCTCCAAGCTGTAACCAAAATATTGGGGGAATTTGATTAGCTCTGATTTTGAGTACTCCATGGTTAGAAAGAAATCCCATTTTGGCACTATATTCTCAGCCAAGCTGAAAGTATACAACGCTCCATATCTTGAGATCATGGTTCCAACATCCTCCATGCTGTAGCCCCTCTCCAAGAAAAACTGCGTCACCGGTTTCAAATTGCCCTCGATACTAAGACCAAACGTCTGAGGGGAACGATACAGAAGGACAGCAACATCGACTCCCAGTGAATGAAAATATTCAGCCGTGGGCCTTAACTTTTCCTCCACACTGTAACTTATGATGTGTGGACAACGGGTCAATATTTTACCGACGCTCTCCTCTGAGATTCCCATTTCATAAAGGAAACCAGTAGTCGTCTCAACCTTCTGTTTGCTGTAGGTGAGAAGCGCTGGAAAACGGTATATGACTTTCGCCCATTGTTTCTTATCGACACCCAAAGTTTCTAAGAATAACATTGTTGGTTTTAGATTTTCAGTCAGACTAATTCCACATAACTGTGGCCTCTTGTTGAGGATAATAGGGATATCAGATTTTGGCACCCCAAGATCAAGAAAAAACTCGATCACAGGCTTTATTTTCCCCTCCAAGCTGTAGTAAGCAAAAGCTGGGAATTTACGAGTAATTTCCTTAATTTGCTCAAGTTTTAAGCCATGCTCCATCAGGTAAAGAATCTGAGGTCGAAGCTTTCCAGTAGGACCTAATTCACTCACTCGAGAGACAGCTCTCAGCTTCTTCGTGTCAATTGTTGAATTCAAGACGGGAACTGTCGTAGTAGTCTTTTCCTTAATAGAACGATTCGGAAAGTTTTCCACAGCATGTACGAGATGAGTCCCATGCTCTTCAAAAAGAGACTCAAGATAAGGATTCAAAGCATCTCTAATCTCAAGTGTGGTCAACTCTCGCCCTGCATATTCATACCAACTATATTATAATTCTAGCAACAAAACTCTATGTCGAACTAAATCAAATTCACTGTGATAGGCGATACGATAAAAAGTACATTGAAATCGAACCTACTAGATACCGAGATTTATGAATCAAATGAAGCCTCAAGAGAAGATGATTGATGAAGAGATCAGACTTGTTTATTGTTCTTGCAGCAATTGCATTGCTTAAACCTTGTTTCTTTAAAAATAAGGTTAAAACTGCCTTGGCCTCTTCTTTTTCAGCTGTTAGAAGGGCTGGAGATACAACCTTTAAGTTCACCGATCCATCATCTATCTCAGAATCTGCAATATTCCATCATTAAAACACAGAACACAGCATGGTTGAGAAACCACAAGCTTTCAACAAGAGATTAAAACCACAAACTGAAGCACTAACCAAATTTAGCTCGGCAAGAAAAGAGTTTCCTTGAGAATGAAACCTGAACCCTATATAAAACAAAACTACTGAATGATCAAAAATAAATATTCACAGAATCAACGAAAGGACAGCTCGTGCAGCCACTCTAACATAACATCATTCATCGAAGAAATCTCACAATAGCCATCAGGAAAAAGAAAAACACGCAACTCCTGAGTCACAACTCACAGAGTACCTTTGAGTAGGAATGAGACAGTCATTTGGCATGAAGAAGATAAGAGCGGAGCGTATAACACTGACACCACTCATCTTTAAGGTTTGGCGCAGAAAATCCCCTTATTGAGTGCTAAAATTGAACGGTACTCCACAGAGTTTGGATAGGGTAGTCTGTCAATTATGAAGCAGAAAGAATGAAGATGCATTAACAAAACTCTCCCAGAAAAAGTGATTTCTTCATCTTTGGAGTTCAAAATTTTCAAGTAATTGCAAATTGCAGATTTGAAGGAGAGAAAGAGAAGGGATGGATGGCACCTACCAATTTTGAAGCACTGCCGATGTTGGCTGCCGAAGAACAAGAAAAGCAGAGACCCGAAAGAGAGATTAAGATTGAGGGGCAGAGACAGAAGAACGAGACCAAGCTGAGATGAACCCTAAATTATGTGCGAGAGAAGAGGGGAGTCTGAGGTTGAGAGTGACACGTCGGATGGGGAAGATAAGGCAGCTGGTTAAGTAGTTTATCGTTAAAATTATATATTTAAAATGTTGCTTTATTACGAAATTAGAAAGTAATGTTATAAAAATATGAGAATATATTAAAATAAACTACCCAAAATAGTTTAATTAATTTTAATTTTTTTTATAATTTACATGTTAATAAAAAATTTAAAAGTATAATAATAAATTTTATAGAGTTTGTTTTAATACTTTTCTAACTCATTTTTAATAATTACTGCCCACTTTGAGTTCACTTTGAGCATAATCTCGAGTAGCTTTCATTTTAATTTTTTTGAAACAAAAATAACATTTCTTTTAATAATTGGATGATGAGTCCAAGTAGAACAATTAATTTCACTTTCTACCAACGTTGTACAATCAATTACTGCATGTTTGTCATAATGACAATGACGTCTAAACTGGAAAGGTTCGATAGAGTTTGATGCAATCAAGAGTTTTCTTCAAACCATACCGAGAAACTGCCCTGTTTCCCTCCATGAACCCATGTCTGTAGTCGTTTGAATTATTTGTTTCGATTTGGTGTATGAAACATTCTCCGAGTTTCTTCTCTATTTCACTCGGTTGCTCGTGCTTTTTCGAACGTCCAGGTTGCAGGGAGAAAGATAAAGAAGCAGCAGCCATGGCAGTTTCAGACCCCACATGGATTTTGGATTTCAACCACATGTGAGCTACAACTTCGCAGATACCTTCTTCAATTGGTTTACTTAGATTGGGATAACCTTCAAAGTGTAGCCAAGCATGCATCATCTCATGTGCTAGAATAGATCCTGTCAACAACCTGTACAAGAGGAAATGGTTGTCTATAAGTTGTAAACATATCTAAACGGTTCGCTGTCCTAACAAGTAGTATTAAGGACAGTGTCCTATATGTAGCTAATGTCATATTTAACTGGTTGGAGAAGTATAGATGGATCTTTATTTAATGGAAGGACCATTAAAAGCGAAATCATACAATAACAAGTCTTAAAGTAAGCAATATCAAAGATACATAAGAATTTATTGTCATAACGAACAATGTAGCAAGTTCTAGTAAGTTCTAATTAATATGAATGTAACGACCTAAGCCCGCTGCTAGCGGATATTGTCCTCTTTGGACCCTCCCTTTCGAACTTCCCTCAAAGTTTTTAAAACGCGTTTACGAGGAAAAGATTTCTACACCTCAGGGAACGAAGCATTCCTTACAAGGGTGTGAAAATCTCTCCCCAGCAGACGCGTTTTAAAAACTTTGAAGGAAAATCTGAAAAGAAAATCTCAAAGAGGACATATCTGGTAGTGGTAGGAGTTGGAGCGTTACGGCACATGAACAGATTATTGTTATAGTACCTGGGAAGGCCATATAGAATGAGTATAGCATCAACTTCCCTGTTATGAACAAGTTGAGGATAGGATTTGAGCATGTCCATGAATGAGAATCCCCCCATACTCTCCATCATACGAACCTACTTGCAATGATGATGATCAAATCAATTGGGTTGAGTCAAAGTAAGCAAAAACAGTGTTATATGTTACTGAGAGAGATGGAAATTCTAACAATGGGAATGGGGCGCCGTTCTGGTAAGCACAACCCTGTAGTTGCGGATAGATGATGCAACTACAAAGGAATCCAGACAAATGAATCCTAAAAAGGTAAGACCAATATATAGATATATATGAATGAAGAAGCAAAAGAATAGCCCAGTGTGTCCTCTTACGTTATCGTTGGCTTCCGTGAGGTCGTTCAATGTCTCACTTGCGACCAACGCCACTGGAATCTTTTGGTCCAGTTTCATGTTTAAACTTCCAAAGAATTGTTGTATCTCAAGGATAAGAGGTTGGCAGTCATTGATGTCCATGATCTTGAAGCTGGAACACTCTGGACATAATCTCCTTCCATCTTCCAGTAAAATGTACTCCATTCCTGCTGATGCCTGCATCAAGGAAAGAGTAAGCTCACATTTGTGAATGTGGGAGAGACAGAGACAGAGACAGAGACAGAGACAGACGGAGGGAGAGACTTACCTGTAATCTTCCACAGCTACAACAATAGGAAGTTCCATCATATTCATGGATAGGGCAGTAATTTTGAGCCCAAAAATGATGCTTACCATACTCAACCTTCCCATCACTACGTGGGATCATCTAACAGCAACAACAGCAACACAAGGGAAAAAGAAAAACGCATATGAAGATGGTAACAGTCAAACCAAGGTCTTAATTACAAAAGAGATGGTCTCTTTTGGCCCGTTACGTACAGTTTTAAAACGCGTATGCTAAGAAGAAGTTTCCACGCCTGTATAAGGAATGTTTCGTTCCCCTCTCTAACCGATGTGGAATCTCACAATCCCCCCCTCTTGGAGACTAACATTCTCGCTGGCACATTGACCAGTGTTTGGCTCTAATACCATTTGTAACAGTCTAAGCCCACTACTAGAAGATATTGTCCACTTTAGCCTATTACGTATCGCCGTCAGCCTCACGGTTTTAAAACACGTATGCTAGGGAGAGGTTTCCATAAGGAATGTTCCGTTCCCCTCTCTAACCGATGTGGAGTTTCACAATCCACCTCCTTGGGGACCAACGTCCTCACTGACACACTGACTATTATTTGGCTCTAATACCATTTGTAACATCTCAAGCCCACTACTAGAAAATATTGTCCGCTTTAACCTATTACGTATCGCCGTCAGTCTCACAGTTTTAAAATATATTTACTATGGAGAGGTTTCCACACTCATATAAGGAATGCTTCGTTTTCCTGTCCAACCGACGTGGGGATCTCGTCTAAAAATCTTGTTAGTTCTTCCAGATCAGATACCCAAAGAAGAGAAAAAAGAAAAGAAAGGTGAAAACAAGAGCACTTCCTTAATCATAGAGAAACACTCTCTTCTCCACACCAAATATATACCAAACAAGCTCAACCACTAGTCGAGTTGTTATTACTTGTACATCCGACATACTAAATTTCAACTGATATGTTACTATGTTAGATATTTTGGTAATACCTTCAATATTCAAAGAAAAAATCACAAGCATTTAAGATTTGAAATTACTTACAAAGTTGTTGCATACATCGCAGATGATATGTTTAATATTGGTAGGACAATTTGTGTAATAAGGTGGATTTTCAAACATGTACAACTGTCATGAACCATGAGACATAAAACCATCAAGTTTAAGGATATATAATAATACTTCAAAAATTTAACAAACTCCAACATTTCTTCCCTCCTTCAAATCTACCTCGCCATTATTGATTAGTTGTCTGCGAGCATAGCATTTTACATGGCGACCAATACCATTGAAGCCCAAAATATGTTCGCCTCTGCTTCTCTCGGTGTTGCCTCCGGCACAGACCATCCTACCAAATCATATCGGAGTGATCCTACCATTCGTGCCAACTAGTGGAAAGATTTATCGACAAATACTTCAACAAAACATGAATCATTACTAGGGCTTTTCTTATAATATCTCTACTATTTCATATAACCTAGATTACCCTAACTTGAAATTCATAGCATTTATAAGAAAACCCATACCTTGTTTGGCTGAAACCAAGATCGATCCTAAGAAGAAGGTGCTTTCAGTGGAGAGGATAAGCGAAGTATAAAAGAAGCAGGTCGAATAATTATTGAGGCACCAATCGCCACCAAAAATTTCAATCCAATGATTTCAAAGTGAGGTATTATTCACTTAAAATAATGTTTTCTTAGGAAAAATAGAGTCAAATATTTTAACCCATTGTTTATTTAGGCACACAATAAATATATCACATTTTTAATTTCAGTTTTTTTTTTTTTTAATTAAAATATCAAAAGTTTTTTCTTAATTCCGAAGAAAAATAATAAAAACAAAGGCATTGGTTGAGACAGAACAGGATGTCGCTAACCACGTGGCACTAAGGAAACAATTGCCAACCCATTTCCAACACGGTTCCCACGTGGCCATGGGCCACGTAATGCCGGCAATGCCACGTCGAATATGTATCTGCTGAGTGGAGGACCACCTCATTTCGAGGAAATGAGTAGGTGTTGTTTTCCACGTGGGCCCACATTTAAAAGCCCAGCTAGGCCCACCTTTCACTACCTTCGAATATTATACCACTTCCCTTTTTCCCTTTTTAACCTTTTATTTTCTTATTATATTCCCAATTTTATTTTTTAATATATATATATATTTTTTTTTTACTAAAATTATATAGTACATTAATCAGAAAATATGGTGTACTTTTATTTTTCACAAATCCCATAATTATTTTGTAATGATTTTAAATGAAATAAATATATGTAAATAAAAAAACATGTCCGATAATTTCTGTCCCCCCAAATTAATGTATTAGTATGAAGAGAGTGACCTAGCTGAGAACGACATGGAGGGCTGTTGGGTTCACAAATTCCGAGAAACATTTCACATTTTCCCATTTAAATAAAAAATAAGATAGTTAAAGTGAATAATATCATATAATTATTAAAATAAATAAAATTATGAAATGGAGTATAAGAATATTAACGGTACTCATATCCCAAAATATCTAAGAATATACTAATGCAAATATTTTTATCTAATTAAATAATTTAATTTTAATTTTAATATTTTAATTAGTACACGAAATGTAATGTCACATTTTTAATTAGTTTGAATACTTCCTCTTTTTAGACTCGAGACGGTGACATCAAAATGCATTTTTTAATCGTATCTTGTGCATATTTATCTTTCTTTTTGATTGACACTCAAACTTTTTATTTCATTATTTATATCATCGTCTTCGCTGACAAGAAAGTTTAAATTTATATGACTTGGTATTTTAATTTCATAAAAATAAAATAAAATTTTAAGAGGGGAATAAATACCATTACAATTTTATTGATTTCTTTCCAAATATATATATATGAATGGTCATATTTGGACCACATGGCAGAAATTAAAGGAATAAATAATGGCATTGCCAATTTTGTTGGCTTACCTTTTATTTTATTGACATTGGAGGCACTCATTAAAGAATTATATTCATTTTCTTTTATTATTGTTATTATTTTATTATTTTTATGGTAAAAAGATTGTATAATCGAAGTCCAACAAATTTTCACATTTTAGTATTTTAAAATATTTTTTGATATAATTAAATCTTATCTTAAATTTTATAAGTATTTGTATGATTTGGAGTGAGAGAAGCCAAAGAGAGGAGAGAGAGACAAAATTGAAGCATAGTGATAAGTTTGATTAAAGAAAGTAATCCATATGATTAGCTTAATTAATTAAATGTATAAAGTGGTAGTTATAGCATAACATCATTAGGTAAGCCTCACTGTTTTCTTCCACAAAAAAGGATAAACATTTAATTATTTTGTTCATTTTAGATGCAAACAAAGCAATTGGATGTAATTAATATAATTAATTCTAACTAACATTTATAATTTATAATTTAACTCAATGTATTATCTACTTCTCCAAACTTTACAATATGTCCCATTAAATGGTTTATATTATAGTGACATGTGTCATGGTTTAATATATCTTAATAATCACTTGATTACACACAATATTTTATTATAAATTTATTTGACTAAGATATAAAACAAACCTTTTATTTATTTTATTTGAGTCGTTTATTTAATTTATTTTATATAAATAAAATGTTAAAATATAGGATATTAAATAAAAAATTAAAATTTAATTTTTAAATATACCAAGAATATTACGTAAAATATATTAATGTTAGATTATTTCATAATATTTAGTTACAAGGACAACATTTTGTTATATTTGTAGTATTGAATGCTTCCTCGTATTTGAATTAAAATTTCTTTACAACTTGCAATCATTCCACGTGTCACTAGCTTCCCACACAAATATCATTATAATTAAAGCTTATTATTTATTTCCTTTTATTTTTATACCAATCTTTTCCGTGCCTACTTTACATTTATAAATATTAATGAGCAAAGTTTTTATTTTTAGTGATGATACCCTATCTTCAATTTATTTAATTATTTTTTATGTTAAAAATTAATTAAAATATAAATGTTGTTTGAATAATAAATAAATAACATGCTACCATTTTATAATCCAATCTCCAAAGGACTACAACTACCCATATGTAAAACATAATTAATATATTTAATAATTATAAATGGAGAATTTCACCGGATGGAAATAAGCCAATCAATGACATGCACACGTGCGGTAGAAGTTAAATAATCATATTGAAATTAGGTGCTGGAAAATGATGAGGTGTGGCCTTTAAACGTGTGAGGGAGGGTGAGATTCACGTGAAGAGCCAGCCCCAAAAGGTTCACACGTGAGATTCCAAAGGTTAGGTTACAATATTTCCATTTGCTTATGTTTTACTAGGCTTCCTAAAAAACATCAGTGAACATGTAACATGAAATGACCAAACCAACCCTACCAACTAAATCACATTACATGAAATAAAGGTGTTGACAGGGGCATTATGGTCAATTCAGGAGAAGCTAAATTGTAATTTGAGATAAGGCTTTGAGACGACTCTATGTTGTCCCCATCCTTTATTATATTCCGCATTCGGTTCACAAAGGGGTTTTGCTAAAATAACCATCACAGGTCCAATCTCAAAAATATTAATAAATATCAAAATAATTTAAATCTTATTTTCCCACCTAAAGTTTTACATTTTTCAATTTCAATCATTTTAAATTTTGGTCCCCATTTTTTTTGAGTCCCCCAAATGTCCCAACTCCTCAACTTAATTCATTTGGGTCCCCATATATTTATTAATACTTATTTTTTCTTAATTAACTTATTTATTAAAAAAGAATGAAGACAACCCTAAATTAATTTTAATTTGGTCTGAATTTTAAATTTTTAAAAATTTTAAAAATAAAAAAGAAACAATTATTTATTGATGCCATTAAATAGAAAAAAATACATAGGAAAGTGTGCTTACAAACACACACTAAAAAGAAAAAAGAAAAGAGAAAAGGGAATGTTAAAATGTTACCATTTTTTTTATTATTATATATTTATTATTTCTCTCTCCTCAAAATAAAATAAATAAATAATTCAAACAAGACAAATGGAGCAGGAAAAATTAAAATAAAAAAAAAAAGAAAAAAGAAAAAAAAAAGGGTAAGGATGTAAAAAGAAAGAGGAAGGCGCGGAAGAAGAAGAAGAGCGACCCTCTTTTTGTGTGTGCGCTTTGTTGTTAGAGAGAGAGATACCCAAAAACCAAAATTCAGAAAAAAAAAGAAAAAGAAAAAGAAAAAGAAAAAGAAAAAGAAATTCATCTCTTTTCTTCTTTGATTCATGAATTCAAAATTAAAATTGTGTGTGAAGAACAAGAGCAATTCTAAATCTTCTTGTTATTATGTGATGATATGGGAATCGCTAAGGCTCCATTGATTTTCTCCACTAATTCTTCTATGTCCCACCATTTTCATCAACATCAAGTGAAGATTAATCTCCTCCCCCAACAGATCCGCCCTCTCCACTCCTTCTCCGACTCAATTCCGCCGTCTACCGTCGCCGGAACAGACCCACAACTTCATCATGTTTATGCACCTGCACCTACTCCTGGGACCATGTTATCAGAAATCTTCAACTTCCCTCCACCTTCTTCCTCTGCCGCCGTTGAATTCTCTGACAATCTCCCAACTTTACGCCCGCCCAACTCCGCTGCGCTCATGCCGCTTTTTCTCATGAACCCTCCTCCGCCACTGCGATCCCCATCGTCACCCTCTACCTCCTCCACTCTCCACATGCTCCTACCCAACCCACATGGGGGTTTTGAAGGCGGAGTTGGCGTTGGAGATCAAGTGGAGTTTGGTCAATTTGTCGTCGAAAGTCGAGGTCTTTCGCTCTCTCTTCATTCGTCGGACGGTGGGGTGAAAGGTGATGAATTGGGAGTTAGGGATGGTGGGGTTTTGTCTAGTTATAACAACAACAATCAAGTCCGGGATGGAGGAAGTGGATCAACGTCCTCAATTTTGCAATATTCTTTGAAAAATAATTCAGACAATTCTCCTCTAGCTTCACAAATTATGAATCCCAACCATCAAGTTCAAATTGGATTTGGGTCATCTTTGGGAGTTGTAAATGTGTTGAGGAATTCAAGATATGTCAAACCCACACAGGAATTACTCGAGGAATTTTGTAGTGTTGGGAAGGTTCAATTCAAGAAGAAAAAGTTCAATACTGAAACCACCACCACCGCCGCCGGTGGCTCGTCATCGTCGTCAAAAGATCAACCACCCTTATCGGCTGCTGACAGAATTGAACATCAACGGAGAAAGGTCAAACTATTGTCCATGCTTGATGAGGCAAGAATCTCTCTCTCTATTATTTTTTCTTAATTTCACATAAAAATTGAATCTTTTTATGAATTAATCTCTGCGTAATTGTTCATTGATTTGTTAAAGTTTAATCACTTGAAAAGCCGGCTGATCATCAATGATTTTCCACACAAAATAATAAGAGACCAGGTTGGTAGGGTTAGATTATTTCACAACATTTAATTGGTACCCAACAACTCAATACTATATAGATATTTAAGTTTATAAAATTAAATAATATTCATATAGTTGACCCAAATATAGCTAGCTAGAGAAGCAATTGATTTCATTAATACATTAATCCTATGTTTTGGATGTTTTTTTTTTTTTTTTGTCTGTATTTGGATAAGAAACAATGGCGGGAAACACTAAGGATTATTAAAATTAATGTTTTATTCATATTTTAATTCAGGTTGAACGGAGATACAACCTGTATAGGGAGCAAATGCAAATGGTAGTGAACTCGTTTGACCTGGTGATGGGGTTCGGGGCGGCAGCGCCCTACACGACATTGACTCAGAAGGCGATGTCGAGGCACTTCCGGTGTCTGAAGGATGCGTTAGCGGAGCAGTTAAAGCAGAGCTACGAGGCTTTGGGGGAGAAAGGCGGCAATGGAGGCTACGGCGTAACAAAAGGAGAGACCCCAAGATTAAAGCTTCTGGAACAGAGCCTCCGCCAGCAAAGGGCTTTCCATCAAATGGGTATGATGGAACAAGAAGCTTGGAGACCACAGCGTGGCCTCCCTGAACGATCTGTCAACATTCTCAGAGCTTGGCTCTTCGAGCATTTTCTTCACCCGTACGTAATATTACCCTTTTCATGATTTCCTAATTATTGTTCAAAGTTTGCATCTTTTTCATTGATTACAACCAAAAAGCTGGGTTTTTTATGGTCAATTGTAGGTTTTTGATGATTTCAAATTATGGGTTTTAACCGAAATTCTGTTTTAGATTTGGGTTTGTGAATATATATATCCATATACAAGAACAGTAATGCAGTGCTGAATTGAAAAGGAAAAGGGTACATAAAGGTTGAATCTTAGATCACATCTTAGAGAAAAAGAAAGAAGAATGGAGATAGAATCTGATGAGAGAAAAAGGGGGCAAAAGAAACAAGGACTGTGATTGTCATTTCTTATGGTCTTTTTCTTCAGGTACCCCAGCGACGCAGACAAGCTGCTGTTAGCTCGACAGACTGGTTTGTCCAGAAATCAGGTTCCTTTCCTTTTCCCCACTTTTTAACCTGCATTTGAACTGCACACGATTACACACCAAAACCATCAACGTTTTGTACACGCACAAGTGTTTAGAGAAACAAGGAAACAAACAAGTTCCCTTGGTTATAATGTGAATGAAAATGGAAAGTTTCAAACTTGCCCTCTCTCCCTCTCTAGTTATTAATCTTTTATGACATCATTGTGTGTGAAAATGGCCAAAGTAGAAGGACAATAAGATCCCTAGATGAATTATCTTGCATCCGTCATCACTCTTTCATCTAAGAGGAATCTGTGAGATCACATGTTAGTTGGAGAGGGGAACGAAACATTATTTAGAAGAGCGTGAAAACTTTTCCTTGGGCATACACGTTTTAAAAGTTTGAAGGGAAGCCTAGAAAAGAAATCTCAAAGAAGACAATATTTGTTGTGGTGGTAGATTTGGGCTGTTACAAATGGTATTAGAGCTAGACACCGGGTGATGTGCTAGTGAAGATGCTGCCCTCAAAGAAGGGTGGATTGTGAGATCTCACATCGGTTGGAGAAGAGAACGATTGGGTTGTTATAAATGCTATAAGAGCTAGACACTCGGTAGTGTGCTAGTAGGGGCGTTGGACCCCTACGAGAGATGGATTATAAGATTTCACATTGTTTAGAGAGAGAAACAAATTACTTACAAGGATATCTCTCATCAACCGTGGTTGGTGTGTCAACAAGAACATTAGGAGGGGAACAACATTGGGCAGTGTGTTAGCGAAAATGTTGGGAGAGAAACAAAGCATTTCTTATAAAGAAACCTATTCCTAGTATTAGGCTGTATGCTAACGAGGACATTGGGTCCCTAAGGGGGTGGATTATGAGATCTCACATGAGTTGGAGTGGGGAACGAAACATTCTTTACCACGAAACCTCTTTAGTAGAGTTATTTTAAAACCTTGAGAAAAAATCTGAAAACAATATCTACTAGCAGTGAACTTAGATTATTAGACTAACTCCAATTAAAAAGAAAATCCATTTAACATACCTGAATGTGTTTTGTTTGTTTGTTTTTGGTTTAAAAACTTTTGACAGGTCTCGAATTGGTTCATTAATGCAAGAGTTCGGTTGTGGAAACCAATGGTGGAAGAAATGTATCAACTTGAAGACAAAGTCGAAACAGACCATCAGAGTGATCATCATCAAGGATCAGAAGACAATAACAATCAAACAAAAAACAGTGACATGAATGCACAAAATCCAACACCCACCACTTCCTCTGCTGCTCCACCGCCATCAGCCACCACTGCCGCCGCCCAGCAACTAACAGCTGCTTTCACGGCGACGCATGAGTACTCAGAGCTTCATGATGTATGGCGACATGGAAGTGGAGATCATCAACATTATGAGACTGTTACAGGGACTGACAACATGAATAATCATGGACCAACACTTATAAGGTTTGGCCCTACTGCTACGACCACCGGTGACGTGTCTCTCACTTTAGGGCTCCGCCACACTGGAAACACCTCCTCCTCCTCCTCCTCCGCCGCCGCAGGTAACCCTTCTTTCTTCCTTAGAGACTTTGGTCACTCTTAGAAGAAATTAAAAAAAAATCCCTCTATGGATAATGACCAACAAATTAAAATCACCCCCTTTAATTGATGAATATATCATGGTCGAATGGCAGTGTAAGTACGTAGCTGCATTTGTATAATCAGGGCTTTCATTTGTGGTTGATTAAATTATTGTTAATTGTATAGTAGGTTATCTTAAATATTTTCCCCCTTTTCGATCTCTTTCTCGTCTACCTATTCTTAATAATTTTGTTTCCATATTTTAAAATGTTAAGAATCACCACTCTCCACAACAGTATTATATTAATCTCATTTGAACCTAAGTTCTTTTGACTTTACTTTTAGCCTCTAATAATGTCTCATATAACATTACAAAAAGGATATGATAGCATACGATCGTAGACGTTTTATAGAGTTTTTTTTATACGTCGTGATAACCCATATTATTAAAAGTATGAGACCTTTTATAACGTTTGTTTTAATCTATAATAGATACTATCATAGAGTATAAAACTATAGCTTATATTTGTTGTTATAAAAACATTTTATAGGGTTTTATTAAATCTATAATATGTTTAATATAACTAAAATATTCACTCTCTCTCGAAGGATCCTTAACAAATAATATAATAAATTTAAGTCACATTGTTAATTACATTATAACAAAAAAAAAAAAAAGAAAAAAGGAAAGAGAGATGAAAAGGACAATAATACTGTGGAAGGTGAAAATCCCACATCGGAAAGAAGCTGCTGAGTGAATCTCTCCTGCACCTATATAAAGCCATCAAAGCACACCCATTTCTTCACCGAGCCGTGCGGTGAGCACAGAGCGAACAATTCTTTCGCCTTTTACTAAAGAATACTGTGTGCTCGCAGCTTCAAGCGGCAAACGCCTATTTTTGGAGGGGATCTCTCTCATGAGTGGGTCCCCACATCAATCTAGTTTCAAAATAGTCTTGTATTTCTTATATAATAATACCCATATACGACTCTAGTGTCTAATTCAATTTTATTTTTTTAAGAACAACATATCTGAGTAGTTCTAGAATATTTTAAAGTTCATCAGAGCAGCGATTGAGATAAGAAACGTAATTCAATAATCATTCTCATAGTCTACCATATGGATTTTTCTTCAACAAGGATGAGTGAGATGCAATCAGAGTATAAGCTTATATTACTACGTACAAACTTTAACTTACAACAGGGTGATCTCGACGAAATCCCGACGAAGCTCGAAATTCATTCAACATAAACCATAAGCAATAAACTCAGCATCTATATTGCCCAACCAATTGTCAGTTTTATAAGTATGGTGATTGTCAAGGCTCAAACTGGGGTATGATTGAGCAATCTTGCTGGTGAATGCTTCCTTGAGTCTCAATGTAAGGTCGAACGAAGGTCCGACGCCACCAAACCTCGAACGCTCTTTGGAGATTCGGGCAACTGTCCCCAACCTTCAGAAAACTGCTCAACCATGTCAGCATAATGCTCTGCTGATCCTCGAGTGGGAGAGTGAGGATTGTTCGACCAATTCCTTCCTCCACGACCTTTCGATCAAACGACCCACAACTGTGTCTCAACCAGCTATAATCATTGATCAATGGCTCTAACCATGTATGTAACAACAATTTACGAGTATCCTTAGCTGGTAACAGCTCTCCTTTGCCAATGCCAACAAATAACCGAGCTGTTATGCAGCTAACACGATAGCGAGATACGATAGGCAACTTCCCATGGAGGGCTGCTAGTTCCTGATGCTTCGACCACATGACTGCAAACTCATCGGCCGCTTGCCTGTCAGCTAATATTTCAAGCAACCATGACAGATTATCGGCCTCTAGAGTAATTTGCTTCACCACTGGTTCTTTCCTGTCACTAAAATCTGTTTCAGCAGCCTGCTGAAACAGGAACAATAGCGATGTCAAGCAGCTTCTACAAGAAGAGTATATAATTTCATTGCAAATATCAGCTGAACTTGCATGGCTTGGTACATTCTGGTTCTCCCTAAGAAGCCTCAGTACTACCAGTTTCATTTCACGTCGCCCTCTCTCCTCGTTGCTTCTCAGAACGAGTTCGATGATATGAGAAAGAGTATCGTTATGGGGCTTCGACACATTCGCAGACACTCGCTTCAATACCGGGCTCACCCCAATGCCCTCACTTTGAAGTCGTAGGATGGACGTGATAACCTTCTCTTCTTCTTCGTCGCCAACCCAAGGGGCTGCTTCCAAATATTCTAGACACGACTGCATGCATGACTTGAAACCGAGACATTCAGCAACCTGAAAAACAAGCATTTTCGGTAAGTTTTATGCCATTGCAAACACTTCAAAGAATTCATGATTGTAACAGCCCAAGTCCACTATTAGCAGATATTGTCAACTATGGTTCATTACGTATAGTCATGAGTCTCACGGTTTTAAAACGGGACTGCTAGAAAGAGGTTTCCACACCCTTACAAGAAATGTTTTGTTCCCCTCTCCAACTGATGTGGGATCTCACAATCCACCCACCTTATGGGCTCAGTGTCCTCGCTGACACACCGCTCGATGTCTGGCTCTGATACCATTTCTAATAGCACAAGCCTACCCCTAGCAGATATTGTCTACTTTGGCCCGTTACGTATTTCCGTCAGCCTCACGGTTTTAAAACCCGTCTGCTAGGAATAGGTTTTCACACCCTAACAAGGAATGCTTCGTTTTCCTCTCCAACCGAGGTGGGATCTCACAGTGATATTAAACAGAAACATGATCAAACAATCATGAAACAGCACAAACAATCAAATGACTATAAGAATGTTGTTACCTTAAGAATTCGCAGAACACGAGAAACATTTTGCTTCATCAGCCATTGCTTCATTTCTTTGCAGTACATCAATCCCACAGTTTCAACATAGATTTCAACATCTTCACAATCACCAATTTCCAAAGAAGAACCTTCATTATCAGAAAGCTTGATGGCAAAAAAAGTGCTATGTTCCATCAAAACATGTTTATGAACACTCAACTTCACTGAAAATCCTTGCTTCCCAACTAAAACAACCTTAATATCACTTGTCCCTGCCTCATCAAACTCAATTGCTATTTTCCTAGGCATCTTTTCAACCTTAGGCCGTGATGCCCTGTGTACAACCTCTGAGGCACCATAGCCAGAAGTATCAGCATTGCCTTTCCGGTCATCGTCACGAACAGCAGCTGACCGTGGCTTTCTATCAGCCACCCGGGTCGGTTTCGTCTCAACCAAGATCTTTGGGGGCAGGGAGGCAGGTTTGGGTTTGTTTAGGGTCTTTTGGAAAACAACAGGAGAAGGGCAGCACCAAAAACCTTCTGGGGTTACAGCAATTGGCACATTTTTAATCTTGGTTTGGCCTTGTTCTAATCTAGCTAACCTTATTTCAGCCATTCTTATTGATTAATTGCAGCTTGTTGAACAATGGGAAAATGGATCATTAAGAACAAACCATCCAGTGCACCAGAAAAAGATATGTAACTCGAAGATAACAGAGAAAAGCAAGATAATGGAAACTTACAGCCTCCTACTTTCTGAATCAAAGATTCCAAGCTTTGAACTGAACTAAGACTTTAGTACCCAATTCATAATGTTGTTCAGAATCATAAGCATTCAAACCATTCCCAGCCTCCAATTCATTTTGAAGAAACCCTAAAAAACTCGAACACAAAACTCATAACCATCTGTTGAAGTGAAGAATTGAGAATTCTGAGAAAACCCACCTCTTATTGATGATTGAAAAGGGAGGTCCGGTGTTAAGCATCGAGGGAACCAAGGAACAAAGGCTTGTAAGTGGAATAATTAGCGAAGAAATGGTTTGAACTTTGTGCATTAAAGAAAAGATGAGAAGACCCACAAAGGAAAAAAGAAATGAAAAGGAAAGAGGTGGGAATTGGTGCTTTATCACTCACCAATTTGCATTCATCTCACTTTCGATGATTGTTTCTCCATGTGGGTATCTCAGAACACCTTTTTGCCTCTGCAATCTCTCTCTGTTACGCACCCACAAAGCCTTCTCAGTAATCAAACAGGCACGCCCCTCCTCCATACAGTGACTCAAAGACATTGCTCAGATTGAGAGCAATAATGGAACATTTTCTCTACAAATTTCTCGGCGAAAGCTATAGATTAGTGATGGGGATGGTCCGAAAAATCCGAACAAGAAGCGAATGTCGTGTTTTGAGCTTCACTTCACTCCTCCATTCCTCTTGTTGTTACATGTTTTGTTTGCTAACTCTGATTTCGAAATGATTAGAGTTGGGAATCAAATTAAAACACTTTGATTAATATTAATCACGACCCCATTTGTAAAAGCTCAAATTTCATAAACCTCTCCTCCAATCAAAACTTGTTTTTATTATTTCTCGTCAAAATTCCATTTTTTTTAGTTATAATTAAAATTCAAATCTTCTTGAAGATATTTGCTATCTTCTTTATAGTTTTGCATTGAGAGAGAGACAACATCACCATCATGCAGATAGATCAGATACAGAATATGAAAACATCGTCTTAGGAAAGCTTTGTGTGTTTTTTTTTGTTTTTTTTTTTTAATTATAATTTTTAGTTTTGATTTCTGGGTATTGTTGATGAAGAATTTATAGTGTGGGACTTAAGTACAATTATTGAGGGTCATATTATTTCTATCTTTAATGGAAGTAAGAAATAATTTAAAATAATTATAACCATCATATGCTATGATTTTGAGAAGTCTTTTGAATTAACTATCAACTAAGTTATTGTTTTGTGAAATGAACTTAATTGTCTGGAAATTATCTTTAACAAGAACGTTAATCACTTTTGAGAACGTTGTACGTAGGCGATACTCATTATATTCATGTGTGTTCATTGAGTGGTTCTTTACTTGAAAGTGTTGTTCCATTGGAGAACATTAGTGTATTGTGTCCACTCAATTCTCCATCATAGACTACATGGGTAGAAGGGGCCAGAAGTGTTGTTAAAGGTGCAAAGCGTGCACTCTCGGATCCTCTCTTACTTCTCGCTCCAAATTTTAAAGCACCAACTCGTGCGAAACGAAACATTTTTAATATGGGTGTGGAAACCTCTCCCTATTAGACGTACTTTAAAACTGTAAGGCTGACAGTAATACATAACATGCAAAAACGGACAATATCTGCTAGCGGTGAACTTGGACTATTATAAATGGTATAAGAGCCAGCTACCAAAGAATGTGGATTGTGAGATCTCGCATCAATTGGAGAGAGTAACGAAACATTCTTAAGAAACCTCTCTCTAGTGAACGAGCTTTAAAGTCGTGAGACTAACAGCAATTATTGGATATAATCAAATAACTCAATCTAACGTACCCGTGTTTTAAGTTTGTAATTTGAAAGTCAAATTGGTTACGTTGAAATAAAAGCATCCAATAATTTAATGCTTAGGAGGAGTTTAAGTGTCCTTGTAGTATGTTAGGTGCAACCATTTAATTACTACTAGGCAAGCTGCATTATTCTAATTTTACAGATATAAGAACCCACCTAGGGTCCCTACGTTGATCAATATCACAATGGGCATCACATTTCACCAACAAAAAATCAATCACCATCCAAATATATCTTATAATTGCATAATTTATGGACAACCTATCTCCCCAATCCAATCGAGTGTGTATCGGAGAAATTTTATGGGCAAAAACGCTTAGGACCCAGGGGGGTGTAGCTGCTATTTCACCGAAAATCTCTATCGTTTATGTGTGAGAACCTAGCACGAATAAGGAAAATTATTGATTAATCGAAGAAGTTTTCTTTGTTACTTAAATGGGTATTCTCCATCTCAGCTTTGCGCTTGCTAGCTAACAACGAATCTACCATGGACCTAAAGAGCCTCTCCTAATATATGCCATTATTTTTTAACCTCTAATCTCCGAACTTTAAAATGTGTCTATTTTTGTGAGATTCATTGTCCAAGGAGAGAAAAACAAAGCTTTCTTTATAAGGGTGTGAAAACTTCTTTCTCTATATATATATATATGTTTTATAAACCGTAATGCTAACGACAATACATAACAGACCAAAACGTACTATATTTGTGAGATTGTAACAATCTCTTCCTAACATACGCGATTTCTCTTAGGTAAATGTCATACGTAGCTCAATCAAATAATATCTATTAGTGGTAGATTTTAGCTCTTATAACTATGTATTTAATAGGTCTGTACATAATTAATTATGTATCTAATAGAACCATGACCTATTCAACAGATATTTTTAAATATCATGAGTTTAATGTTTTATTTATAATTTAACTTAAAATAAATAAATAAAATTATTAATAGAAATATTGTGTCCTACGTAATTTAAATTTGTATCCTCAAAAGTCGGGAGGTAGGGATAATGGTCCCCTTTTAGTTTTGTCCTAATTCAATAATTCCCTTAATTTAAATATTTCAATATATAAAATTTTCCCTTCTTAATTATTCCATTTTTCTTTTTTGTTATCAATGTTGTAGCTTCCATTCGTTTTTATTATTTATAATATTACTCTTTTGAAACATTAAATTGATTTTAAATTATTAAACACGTGTTTTAAGCCATTTTGAATATAATTAAAGTATCTCTCGAACAAATTTTAAATATATTTATTAAACGAAAAAAATTTATACCGATTAAAGATATTTAGTAAATCTTTCCATTTATTACTATTTTTATATTCTTGTAATTTATTTGATTATAAATAAACCAACCAAACAAAACAAAAAAACTTAAAAATTAGAATTTTTTATGAAAAGAAAAAAGAAAAAAAAAAGTTCATTTGCCAAACTTTGCATACACTTTTTTTCGCATAATTAAATTTACCTTATTCGAACAAAAATGAACATTTTTTTAAAAATATCTTGAATCGCTAAAAAAAATATAATATCATTATAGTATTAAAAAAAATTTGGCGACCGTTTTGTAGTTTTTCATATATAATATATAATATGGATGGCAACGAAACGAGGTGGATAAAACAATTTTAATTGGTCAATATCTCAATTTTTTTTTTGATTTATAAATTAAATTTGACCCATTTAGGTTGGACAAAATTTTTAGTTTAATTTGGTGTTTTTTTTTTAATTAAATTTATTCTCCATGATTTGGGCTAAACATAAATTTGGTGTTTAAGTTTAGTTTGAATTTGACCCTTAAATCTTGGTCAAATCTTGCAAGTTGTCCTCAAGAGTGTTTTATTCACTTTAAAAGCCCACTTGTGCTCTTTTATTAATTTTTACTTTGCCCTAATAATTAACCAAGACAATTATCCAAAAAAGAGATGGGTGATAAAATATCGTTGTCACGATCATATATGAAATTTGGTATATTACCCACTTCGATTCACGAACTATTTGATTCATTTGGTTCATTTCTCATATTATTACATTCTTTCATATTTGTATATAAATAATCTTGGTTCATGTATGAATATTAGTATTGTTGTATCTATATAAAATTTTGTCTAACGCTGTCATGAGATGGAAGATGAGTGTCTATTTGTGTAGAAACAATTGAGGGAAACTAGTGTGGGTGTGAGAGATGGACTTGTAAACACTCATTACAGTGATTGACTACCACCTTGTGGAGTAAGAGAATTTATTCTCTCCAAATTACGTTGGGTCTCTTTCGATTTTTTATGTTTGTGAGGGTATGAATGATAAATGAAATTGGTTATGAATAAGAAAGGTAGAGAGGAAAGAATATAGTAAAGATGTCGTATTATATGGTAATTTTGTGAGAGAAACATATGCTTTTGGAGGGATTAATAAAGTGGCATCCATTTTAATGTGAGAGAGAAAGCGATGCCTTTTGGTGGATATGATTGGCATTGACTTGATTGTCCAAATGCATTTGTAAAGTTTTCAACTTTTCTTTAATATTATATCATTTATGTTGGGACTCTATACTCTATACTTTGCCCACCTTTTTCCCTCCCTCAATCAATACCCTTTCTATCTTTTTCATCACTCTTCGTACTCTCTTTTCCATCTCTTTATCCGATCACGGGTAGATATTATCCAAGCCTTATAAGAAGTGTTTTGTTTCTCTCTTCCTAATAAACCTGTTTTAGATACATATATGCATCTCGTAATTACTATACAAAACTTGCTATTTGGTCAGATTTTTGTATTATTAACCAATAAGATGAATACCCAATTGAGGCCATTACCCAAATCCCCAGATTTTGACTTTGTTATGATAATGTAGAGATCAGATTTACTTCCCATATCAATTTGTAAGCAGGTTCATACTCTCTTTCTCTCTCTCTCTCTTTAATCGGTAAGGGATGAAATTTAAAGGAAAAGGAAAAGAAAAAGTCTTCCTTTTTGGTAAGCAAGTGAATATGACGACAAAAAGAGAGAGTTTACCAGCTTGACACAATCAAAAGCCCTTCCTTTTTCTTTTCTGCATCGATTAAATCACTGTTTTTTTTAACTAAAAATCAATCAATCTCTTCCTTCTTTATCTAATTCTTGAGGATTCTGTGACAAAAGATAGTTTCTTGGATGCTGAAAGACAATGTGGGTATCTCCAAATCCCTCTTCCCCTTTCTAAGCATCCAATGTCTCCTTTATCCCTCTTTCATTCCTTTTGAGGCCACCCCTGCTTTTCTCTTACCTCAACCCTCTGTTTGTTTGATCTCAAATCACCCACATTTTTATATTCTTATTGGGTTTGATCTCAAATCTTATGTTCTTGAGAGATGACAATAAACAATGGAGCTTCTTTTTTGGTATTTGTAGATCTTTGTCTCTATGGATGGATCTCAAAATTTCACCAAGGATGTGTCCTGAGTTGTGAAAAATGATAGCCACCCATGTGACCAGTAACATGTTTTGGTGTTTTTTTTTTTTCTGGAAATCTGAATGAATTATTGAAAGATTAGGTATCGTTAAAAAACAAA